CGTTGCAAACTGAATCGCGACAGATTACGCGGTACAAGTGATGCTCTAACTGCGGTTACTTATAAAATTGAAGCGAAATGATCAAACGTTTGGTGTTTGAACAGCAGTACCACGAGACATATGCGTAACGATAAACAAAAATTCTCAAGTGTGCTCAAGTCTGAACCGTGAAGTGTAAGCACTGCCACGGAAGAGTGTGTCGAATCATTCGGTTGCTCACATGTGAATATAAATATAAAAATTGGTTATAATATTATGCATGCTGTAATTTTAAAAGATACGATGTTTGTACCTTAACTCGGAAACAATTTAATATCAGCATGGAATGTCACTGAAAATGGATGTAAAGTAAAGGTAACTTATAACTGAACGGATGTGGCTTAACTGTTCAGCCTCAGTAGAGGACTAAGACTAACTGATCCTAGGAAGGTCCTGTAAAACCAAGGACTCTAGCAAAGGAAACCCCATGCCAGTGTTTCCAAATGCCCAGAATATTTCGTAGGGTATAAGCCTACTCGTCGGCCGATAACTTTTAAAATGATTAATTACTTATAAACGAGAAATTTACAACTCCTTCTTTACCCACTTAAAAATGAGTACAATACCGCGATCTTCGAACCAGAAAGAGACATTATCGAATTTAATCTCTTAATGACCGCATTAACGCGATTTCGACTTTACGTAAAATTTCTTTTATCCCGTGTTAACGCGGTTTTGCTTTATCCGTTGAGTTTATGTAAAATTGTGTACATTTATAATTTTCTAACATATCAATTTCTTCGTAATTTTGATCACTTAGCAATTTTACGCGATATTAGATATTACGATCATTTAATAAATCGATAATAAAAAATTTGGGGAATTTTTTACCGATTTTTGTAAAATATTCCATCTTCAAGGGGTTAAAGGACTTTGCGTAGTAGACACCGTTATAATTTAAACAACGCTTATAATTGAATGAATTTGAAGTACCATTCGAAAGGAAAAGCGAGCAGCAGTTGCGATTAACGAAAAATTAACGAAATGCGCTACTTCGAAGTATTATATATATAAAAGTATATTTAAACTCGTGCTAATTTCAATACAAAATCCATGTCAGATACGAGTCGAAATTCGAAAATTTCAAAATTATTAAAAATCTAAATTACCCCTAATTTTAACAATCTCTTAAATTTCACGAGTATCGATCTCATTTTAATATTCGAAATGGTTTTACTTCCTTAATTTATGTTCATTTTTTTTCTTTTTTATCTATCTTTGCAATCAAATTCCTTTCAATTTCCTTTCAATTAACAATTTGTTTAAAATAAATTTATGTAATTTATTTTCAGGTTGGGCATGGTTACAATGATTGTATGTAACGAAACGGTATCTGCAAGTGTGGCAAAATTTCCAATCGTAGTTGAAGCTGCTTTACAGGATTTGAACGACTATCATAGCAGCACCACCATTCAACTCCGCAAATGCCTTTCAAGGAGTTTGGATGTTGCTAGTGAAGCAATTCTTGCAGATTTAGACAGTAAGTAAAATTCTACTTTATTTTGCATTTAAAAAAAAAATTTTCCATATTTTTTCACTTGTTATTTTTGTTATAAGCGTAGAATTCGTATTCATAGAGGAGTGGCAACTATTTTGACATAACGATATTTATTATAAAAATACAGATTATTACTCGACTTACGCAGAATCATCTTGACATACTTGTATTCTGGAACTGTTGTTCACACTCTCAAATTCTCGGTCTAACACTGACTCTCCTAATGACCTAATCCATTTATACTACGCATTGATAAATACACGAAGGTTCTCGAAACATTTTTCAAAATCGCTCGTCCTTCGCTCGTTATCTATTATTTAATAATAGAATTCTTATGATCACATTCGCACCCTTCGGATCACTTGTTAATTAAGCACCGACAGTCATGCGATACTCTATTACGCCATTCGTGCATCTGCCACTCGCTACCATATGCTCCATACGTTCGCGCATTACACATAAGTTATACTCGTATCGCATAAATTTATATCGTATCTTTTCCCAATAGCCTTAATATGCAATTAGAGTTTCAGTACCGTTGATGTTATAGACACGCTATCACTGCTCTATAAGCGTATATGCTCAAGTCTAATACTCAATATCTTACAATTAGTGATATTCAGCGATCGACGTAACGATCGAATATCATAAAAGATTCCGTTATAGTGTCAAAAAAAGAAAAAAAGTTATAGAAATATATAATACGTTCGATACTTTGTGTTATTGATGAAATAGCAAGGAATTAAGATATATTTACATATACACTTACTGACAAAAGTTAAGAAACAACGTAATCGTTTGGTAATTTGGGTATATTCTCTATTTTCTGCGATACCTAAGTTGAAACTAACAATGGCATAATAAGATAACATTCCATACATCAGTAAACAATGAGTTTTTTCCAAATATACTTTTTTTCGAATATAGACCACAATTAAATTGAATAGAAGAAACAAGTCAAGAAACAAACAAAGTACTCACAGTAAATTGAGGTTGTGGTAATGGTTACATAGATTTTTAAATATATACGTGTTGGTATAATAAAGGAGCAATGTATGCAAGAAAGGAATAAGTGGAACACGTATGCACGAGATAGCAATATCTAATGAATTCAGGTTATTGTGATAAATGAGTAGACGTGTAATGATCGAGGTGTTGTATAATTTGTACATGTTAATGTATTGTATGAAAGAAGAAAGAAAAAAATGAAAGTAATTTGGCATAGGTCAATTGCAATTGAGTTTTAATAGTGATAAAAGGTGTGAGCATATGATTGTCATAAATTAATTATATTTAAACTTAATATTAGCGTTTGATTATTTTTGTAATTAAATAAAGAATTGTTCTTATTGTTATTAATATTTCATCCATCATTAACAGAGGTCACAATGTAAACAAACATATTCCGAAACACATAGTTCTCTTTCTGACATCGCTGAATCTAATTCATATTATAGTTTGTGTTAAGAATGACAAGAAAGCAACATTTAACAGACGCTGAAAAGCTGAAAATAGTTGAAATATTTACGAAGGGTAAGAAAAAAATTGACATAGCAAAAGTGTTTAATGTAAATCGTTGCATTGTCACCCAGATTATAAAACGATTTGACGAACTGTTAAAACAGCACCACGAACTAACAGACTGCGAAGAAATGAAAAGCTAGATCGTCGAATAGCAAGGCTCTCGAAGTCGAATCCATTTTACACTGCTTCTGAAATTAAAAATCAACTGCGTCTGAGAAACATTCTTAACAGGACAGTTAGCCGTCGTTTAGATGAAAATAATCTTTTTCACGCAAAGCATACAAGATATCACTTGTGTCGAAGAAAAATAGAGCAACTCGGTTGGAGTTTGCTAAAGAACACCTTATTGGACTACTACTGAATGGTGAAAAATTCTATGGAGCGATGAGAGTAAGTTCAACCTGTTTGGAAGTGACTCTAATAATAATATGCGACGCCCTACTGGACAACGATTTGATGTTAAATACCTGAAACCGACAGTAAAATTTGGTGACGGTAATGTAACGGTGTGGGGTTGTTCTCGCATAACGGCCCTGGTCCATTAATACAATTAAAAGAAACAATGGCAGATTTGTGTATTGCGACAACTTGCAAAATCATATGCTGCCATTTGCCAGTAAAAAAATGTTATCAGGATGGTCATTTCGACGCGATAACGGCCCCAAACATTCTTCTAACTTCGTTAAGATGTTTCTTGCAGGACAAAATGTTGATGTAATCAAGCGGTCGAGTCAATCCTCGTATTTGAACCCAATGGAACTTCTGTGGGTTTACGTTGCACGTCAATTGGACAGTCTTCTTCTTACCAGTAAAACAGTCACGATAAGGAAAGAGGAAAAAATCACTATAATATTGTCATAAATACCGGCTGTGTTTTGTGGTCGATTAATTGAATCAATGCCACGCAGATGTCATGCTGTCCTTAAATTAAAGGGTTATCCAACATCTTATTAGACTGTTATGAAAATTACAGATATCGTTGTTTTTATTTAAAGTGTTAATATAAATTAAACAATATATGTTTCTTATGTCACGCAGATTTTGTCTTATTCCATCGATTCAATTTAATTGTTGATTGATTTTCGTATGTCCTCTCGTGTCACCTGTGGAAAAGGTAATTACGTTATTTTATGACCTTGAAACCATTCTATTCTCGTTGAAAATATATTTTTCTAGGGCGAGCAATTAACAAGTAATGTTCATTCGTAAATTAAAATCGGCTACCTTGTATATGTAAAATATATAATTTTAGTTATTCTAAAAGGGTTGGATAATGATAAAATACAAATTTTTCCTTGCTGGTAAGAAATAACGAAATTTGTTTACTTATGTTATATGTTGTATGTTGTATGTTGTATGCTGTATATATACAATGTTTATATTAAACACTGTGCTGGGGTTGTCGTCTATTGGACGCCGCTAGCAACTTAGAGGTAACCTCTTTTATGTCTCTTCGCTGTCTCGCAAGCGAAATTAACGTATATTCTTCTTTTTAATAGTATGTGGTAAGTATCCAAAATACAGACATCGGTTTGCGTTCATTTGCTTGCAAAATAATAAATGCTCTTATTCAGTCGATATAGGTGGACTCTAATAACTCGAGCCAATGCATATTCTTTTTGATCTTCGACTATGTTGTCGATACGGATAGAGCCGGGAGAAGTGCAATAAAACATTGGCATATGTATCAATTCGATATTGAACATTATCGTGGCATAAAAAACACAAAGATGTAATTAATTTTGCTAGTATGTCGGAATACGATACCAAGAGTCTAAGGATTTCAGAAGAATCAAAGGAAGAATTAAACAGAACGAACAAAATATCCCTCTTCTGTACCCTAAATATCTTTCTAGATCTGCTCAGTACAAGAGAAACAAAAGAGAGAAAATTGAGATAGCAAACGGGTTCCCTTGCTTCAAGCCTGCTTGGTTCATCGCTATATCACTGTTCTTTCAATCCGAAGATCTTTCTCGTCGTGGCATTAAAGGCCATTTTCTCCATTGATTTCTGTAATATCTCAAGTTCTACAGGACCGATTTCATTCAACTTCGGTGTTTACCTTCGGTATATGTGCGGTACATGTTCGGTACACATGCCGCTACACCCTGAGCTATAACAAAGACAAAATCGATGTTTCTCTATTTCCTTTCTCGCTTGCTTAACTGCACACGAAAGAATACCCTCTGATCCTCGCCCTTATTTCGATTCAAAGTTTTTCGAAAGCTAACATTAATTGCGTGACCTAAAATTTCTGTTCTCTGCTCAAACATGACCTAACGTAATGTGAGAATGTACTACATTTTGACACCAAAAGCGGGAGATTTTCCTTGTAGAACACCTGAGTCGTAAGATGAAAAATGCACTGGGTGATTAACGTATATGTAAAATCCGTGTAATTCATCCGTGATTTTTAATACACTACGAACCGAAATATCAATCGCGAAAGGATTATAGATTCTTTATTGACACACATACATACACGACGAAATAAGTACATAGGAAAGGAGGAAATCAATACGTAGTAAGAACTTGAAAAAGTTTAATTGGCACGGTACAAACTATTCCAATATAGTAGTATACTTTTTGTTTTTAAACGAATAAAGAAATATCTATGAATTCAAGAACTTGAAAATATATCATATCTGAAATCTAAATTTAACGATACGTTTTATTCGAGGAATTAGATAATATTCTCTCTGCCTATTTCTTTCATCGCCAAAAACAGTGCAATTACGAATAAATTAGTTACCGATTTACGGTACATTGTCGTATATTATATATAATACAAATATTCATGTACTGTTCATGAATTTTCTATATTTACGATTTGACCTTAAGATTATCATAGTCGCATAGATTCATATCTGTACATTTTTATGTACGATATAAAATATGACATGTTTATGTATTCCAGATATAGAAGAATTATTGGGCAAGCCGATACAGACTGAATTATCCACTGAAACAGGACTAGATATTGCAATCAGCACGCTCACGGATCTTATAAATGGTAAGATAATTGTACTTCCATTATTCAATATACGTATGTATTTGAAGCGTTGATAGCAAAATCAATTTTCTTATTATAACTGATCCTTTGATTAATGAAAAAAATATTATCGATTTCGAATATCCCCAACCATTCTGCAGCAACAGAGTATTATGTGTTTCAATTACTTAACCCATGTACGAAACACTTGTACAAAAAAATCTTGAGTCCAGATTTTCTTTTTGTCGTATTTAGTTTTTATACTTAGTAACCATAATAAATAATTAGATATATCTTTGTATATATATAATACAAATATATATATATATATAAATATATAATGCGAGCGCGTGTATGTGTAGATAAGACAAGTAAATATGTAGGATTTCCCACGACCGTTCATAAATTACAATTTTAGAAGGTCCTTTGTTGAAAAATTATAACGGCAGAATAAAACACGTAGAAAGTGATAATGATCTACCCCTTGTTAGTATTAATATAATATAAGACAAAAACAGATAAATGACACTTGCGTTACAATTTGTTATAAATTAGATTTACTAAATTAACATTTAATGGCTGGATAAAGAGCACAGATAAACCCATAAATGATCGTTGTGAGCTGATAACGCTTTACTTCTTCTTGTTTTCACCACAATATAAGATACAAAGCCTGACCTTCGTTGTGGATTAGAATCTGACGATACATTTTCTTAATATCATACGAGTAGTACATGTATTTGTATTGTCGAAACCAGATTAACACATCGAAGATATCCTTTTATACTTTACGCCCGTCGATCACTCGGCACCGTCTATTGAACACCATTCGTAATTTAGTGATCGTACTCGTTCCTTCTCGCGGTGTAGTAGGTACACAGTCTTTTGTCTTATGCTGTTGGTCGGTATGTTGGTTCACCAGCCGATAGTGGAATCAGGGATTGATCCCAATATTGGAGTTTATCGTTGAAGTCTCCAGCTGCTAGAAATTTGCTACTTAATGTTTGGAAGAAGTTCTGATACTGTTTTAGAATGTTACGTCACTAGGTTGGTTTTATTCGACCACGATTATTGACGGACGTAACCAAATGGAAATTACGTATTTTTCCATTGCCATAGTGGACTGTATTTTAAAGCATTGTGATTGGTAGACAACGCCTTGATGTTGAGGAAGCGTGTTGTGTAGTGCTCGAGAGTCGATTGATTACTTTCTCTACTTTACGAGAATTAACTTGTTACTATGTGCGCTCTGCAAGAGTTGACTCAACCCATTTGCATCCAAGCGCGGAATAATCCGCGAGCTGTGATCTTTTTCATTACCAGTCGCTGAATATTCTTCAATTTGCCACAGATCACGTTTGATCCCTTTACATCGGTTCATTATATTCTTAACAAGTTTTACTTTTCTTTTATTTTATCTTTTATTTTATTTATAAAATAATTTTTATTTTTTTCCCTTTTTACAAAAAAAAATGTAAAATGTGATGTTTGCGATGTAACATTGTGTGTCAGTTGTTTTAGAAAGTATCATGTTAAATAAACTCCATGAACAATTCGGAAGTGATTTACTGCACGTACGACCGACCGCGCGCGGTGATACGGGCCAGTCGTCGGTTGAACATCGCGGATGCCTGAACACGGCACTTTAAGTAGGGCCCTGATGCAAATGAGTTAATTCTCTCTTGTCGATCTTGTATTTCTTGCGAGAATATTACAGTCTATGAATTATTAAAATTCATAAGAACTCTTGGTAGGACTAAGCATTTTTCTGTCGGTTAACGTGTTAACATTCACGCACTTTTTATGTACTGCGCTCTGGAGACCGGGATAAAATTTGATAATCTATGCGATATGATGGTGTAATTTGGAAATGAAAATCTCCGTTTTATATAAGCATAGTTCTTCGTAGCTTAATGTTGGTAAAATTCTAATTGTACGACTTCTGTATGTTGGAAATCTGCTTGCCTTATATTCATATCTTCTATATGTACCAGTTGTCCCAAAAAATTAATCTGATTCGAATATTGGAAAATCCTGTCTATAATTAGGTGACTAAGGACAGAGGTTTGTATCAAATAAAATATTGCGTTTAGAATGACACAAGCTATTTTGAAGTCCTAGAATGAGGTGGGGATTGCAATATTTTGGATACATTTATAAAACAGCTATTTATGCATTCATTAATTATTCCGGCCATAAACCAATTTTTTGTAATGAGTCGTGATTGATTGACTTGTTCAACTGTCAATGGTTTCCGAAGTCCATCTGCAAATGATGGTATCTGATGCAAATGATGCAACTTCCTCCAAAAAGTCCCAGAAACAATGATCCACGAGGAAAACATCACGCGCGTGAAATTGATTGCACGTACCGGCTTTTAATGACAGTTCGTTTAGAATTGATGCATTATTTTTAGATTCATAATATAGTCCCTAAATATTTACTATGTAACAATGCATGTAACTAATTACTGATGCAACACCGAAGAGGAAGACGACGGAACATAACGCTCGAGTATGTTCGATCAGTCTCATTTTCACACATTTCGACTCATTTTTCGACAACTTTCCCATCGTTTCTCGACAAAGTAATAAAGGAATCTTTTATTCCTTGGAAAATGCTCTTAAGGGTCCTGAAGAAATTTCATTTCCAAGCGATGCCAAAAATGGCCTTTTAGTCCTTTGTTGAAAAATTATAACGGCAGAATAAAACACGTAGAAAGTGATAATGATCTACCCCTTGTTAGTATTAATATAATATAAGACAAAAACAGATAAATGACACTTGCGTTACAATTTGTTATAAATTAGATTTACTAAATTAACATTTAATGGCTGGATAAAGAGCACAGATAAACCCATAAATGATCGTTGTGAGCTGATAACGCTTTACTTCTTCTTGTTTTCACCACAATATAAGATACAAAGCCTGACCTTCGTTGTGGATTAGAATCTGACGATACATTTTCTTAATATCATACGAGTAGTACATGTATTTGTATTGTCGAAACCAGATTAACACATCGAAGATATCCTTTTATACTTTACGCCCGTCGATCACTCGGCACCGTCTATTGAACACCATTCGTAATTTAGTGATCGTACTCGTTCCTTCTCGCGGTGTAGTAGGTACACAGTCTTTTGTCTTATGCTGTTGGTCGGTATGTTGGTTCACCAGCCGATAGTGGAATCAGGGATTGATCCCAATATTGGAGTTTATCGTTGAAGTCTCCAGCTGCTAGAAATTTGCTACTTAATGTTTGGAAGAAGTTCTGATACTGTTTTAGAATGTTACGTCACTAGGTTGGTTTTATTCGACCACGATTATTGACGGACGTAACCAAATGGAAATTACGTATTTTTCCATTGCCATAGTGGACTGTATTTTAAAGCATTGTGATTGGTAGACAACGCCTTGATGTTGAGGAAGCGTGTTGTGTAGTGCTCGAGAGTCGATTGATTACTTTCTCTACTTTACGAGAATTAACTTGTTACTATGTGCGCTCTGCAAGAGTTGACTCAACCCATTTGCATCCAAGCGCGGAATAATCCGCGAGCTGTGATCTTTTTCATTACCAGTCGCTGAATATTCTTCAATTTGCCACAGATCACGTTTGATCCCTTTACATCGGTTCATTATATTCTTAACAAGTTTTACTTTTCTTTTATTTTATCTTTTATTTTATTTATAAAATAATTTTTATTTTTTTCCCTTTTTACAAAAAAAAATGTAAAATGTGATGTTTGCGATGTAACATTGTGTGTCAGTTGTTTTAGAAAGTATCATGTTAAATAAACTCCATGAACAATTCGGAAGTGATTTACTGCACGTACGACCGACCGCGCGCGGTGATACGGGCCTGTCGTCGGTTGAACATCGCGGATGCCTGAACACGGCACTTTAAGTAGGGCCCTGATGCAAATGAGTTAATTCTCTCTTGTCGATCTTGTATTTCTTGCGAGAATATTACAGTCTATGAATTATTAAAATTCATAAGAACTCTTGGTAGGACTAAGCATTTTTCTGTCGGTTAACGTGTTAACATTCACGCACTTTTTATGTACTGCGCTCTGGAGACCGGGATAAAATTTGATAATCTATGCGATATGATGGTGTAATTTGGAAATGAAAATCTCCGTTTTATATAAGCATAGTTCTTCGTAGCTTAATGTTGGTAAAATTCTAATTGTACGACTTCTGTATGTTGGAAATCTGCTTGCCTTATATTCATATCTTCTATATGTACCAGTTGTCCCAAAAAATTAATCTGATTCGAATATTGGAAAATCCTGTCTATAATTAGGTGACTAAGGACAGAGGTTTGTATCAAATAAAATATTGCGTTTAGAATGACACAAGCTATTTTGAAGTCCTAGAATGAGGTGGGGATTGCAATATTTTGGATACATTTATAAAACAGCTATTTATGCATTCATTAATTATTCCGGCCATAAACCAATTTTTTGTAATGAGTCGTGATTGATTGACTTGTTCAACTGTCAATGGTTTCCGAAGTCCATCTGCAAATGATGGTATCTGATGCAAATGATGCAACTTCCTCCAAAAAGTCCCAGAAACAATGATCCACGAGGAAAACATCACGCGCGTGAAATTGATTGCACGTACCGGCTTTTAATGACAGTTCGTTTAGAATTGATGCATTATTTTTAGATTCATAATATAGTCCCTAAATATTTACTATGTAACAATGCATGTAACTAATTACTGATGCAACACCGAAGAGGAAGACGACGGAACATAACGCTCGAGTATGTTCGATCAGTCTCATTTTCACACATTTCGACTCATTTTTCGACAACTTTCCCATCGTTTCTCGACAAAGTAATAAAGGAATCTTTTATTCCTTGGAAAATGCTCTTAAGGGTCCTGAAGAAATTTCATTTCCAAGCGATGCCAAAAATGGCCTTTTTCAAAATCAAAAGATTTATCATGACGATCATTCTATTCATCGCGAGAATCAACTTCGTTAAAAAAAACTATCAATGAAAATTCAATTGTTCTCTTGGAAAATTATGACCAAGTTCCATTATGTTTCAAATGATATTGACTTTAACAAAATTGACAACGATATTGAGTCAAAGTGAATTTTACGATACTTTTTTCGTAATAATTTTTACTAAACCGTGGGTGTAAAATATTATAATTATTTCATACCAAGTACAATGTTACATATAAAATCGAATTAATTATAACACCAATCATTGAATCACATTCATCGCTTAGAACGTGAAATTTTTCGAAAAATTGCGAAATAGTCGAATTTGTTCACCTGGATCATTCGCGATCCAACAACGATATCGAATGAATAAAACTATTTTATATTTATTAAATACGAATTATCATACAACGAAATATTACGAAAGAATATATTTTGTTTATAAAACAGTTTCACTCGTTAAGCTTCATTTATTAAAACTCGATTATCACACTCGAAGAACTGATGAACAAGACTTGGATTTTCATAGAAATAAATTATAATTCGATACGTTAGTTACTGCCGTTAAAGTACGGCACATTAAATTATATATTTGTAGGATTTACTTGACGTAACAGATAATAGGATTAATAATAGATTAATTTGTTCGTTTGAAAATCTTTGTGGCAAAGGTCTTAACTTTTTTTCTTCTCTTTGTACGCCCTCGCCATTAGCCTTCGTCACGCACACTTGGTACACAGCACACATCTCGCACACGCAACGCATGCAACGCACGCAACGCACGCAACACGCGCATCTTTGCAACGTGCGGTCAAACATCCTGCGAACGCTGTTTTTATTAGCGTCGTATCCACCTCATTGACAGTCGCACCGCTATATATTCTCATAAATATAATTGAAGAACATATGAAGAATCAGAAATTAAAACGTATAAATTTCTTTTCGTTTCTAACAACGCAAAATTTTTCGATAATTTCTCTTTTCTTACCGCGTTACCACGTATCACGTACCAGCTTCGCTATCAACAGATCTCGCCTTGCCTATTCAAACAATGAGAGCAGTTAAATAATAGAAAAATAAACATCGTTAGATCTTTCGACATTTTTCATTAACGTAAATTGTTTGTATATTGCGTAACTCGTTCAATATAATAAGAAAAGTGTTACATACTAATAGGAATACGAGATAAGAACTGTAATAACAAACATTTAAATAAACAAAATTACTATTCTATTTTATGTACTTATAACTTTTATAAATGCCTTTCCTCTATAATGGTTATGATTACAATGTTATTCAACATGCATTTATAAATAGACATATTATAATTTAATGTTACGATATTATTATATTCTAGCCACGCAAAAAGTCTCGAGTAACGTTGAATCTTTGTTAAACGATGGTGAAAATATCCGTAAATCTGGAAAAGTGTTAACTATAGAAGTCGACAGTTTACGTCGAAATTTGGAAAATACATTGAAAGCTTGTACTGGACAGGATCGTCCACTTTGTACCATTATTGATTCTTCTGGATTGCGAGTAACATTATGGATGGATCAGGTAAATTTGATAAATAGTCTACAGTAATCTATATTATTTATATATTTACTTCGTGTATCTATAATATACGTAATTTTTTTTAATACACAATCGATTTAATATACAACTACGAAGTATATTTCCTACTTTCCGTTTCATTTCGATGAAAATTTGTATTCCCGATGTCTCAAGATTGTGTTTAATGATTAGCACAAATGAATTCTATACATTCGAATCGATAAAGAGCTGTCTAAAAATATGGATACAAAATTATGCTTCAATGTCAAATTTCTTTTATGTCTTTTATACGGTATATTCTACTTGACAATAGAGTAAAAAGTATCAAAAGAACCATTGAATTGTCAAGGATCAAGAAAGGTTATGGAATCAGGTTATGGAAAATTATGGAAGAAAATTATGGATGGAAAAGGCAATATCGCTTTTCAAAAAAAAAACAACAAATTATTTCAAAAAGTATTCTGTTTCTATCCCTATAACAACTAGAATTCCATAAAAAAAGAAGAATTCGACGGAAAGGTATAGATCTTTATTGCGATGGTCATTATACATAATTTTAAAATACCTTGCAAAGCTATGAAAATTTCGCATATTTACGCTTTTTATTAGCAAATATTCGCATAAGATGAAATTAGCCTCTAGATTGGGAGTCAATAGTATTATCGATTTGAATAGCTACAAAACAAACGGACAGTGAGAAAAAAGGCAGCATTGAGTACAAACATTATCCAGTGAAAAATAATACTGCATAAAAAACGATTTTATCGTAGCAAATAATGCATATTTTTGTCCATATTTTTCATCTAAGAATTTCGTTTTACAAAGTTTTATTAAAACTCAATCTTCTTTTAACGTTAAATACAACACTTCGTATTATAATACAAAATACTCTATTAGCGAAATTACGATTTTCTGAATTATAACAGTTTTCTCTGTAAATCCTTTGCTTCCAAATTTATATTGTTTGTTTCATAGTAATTTGTTTCCTTTTTCAACGCAAACAAATTATCGTATCATTTCGGGAAAGCTTCATTATAAACGTTATTAAAGCTAATAACGCGTGACGCGTTACGTGCATTGTATATTTCCAATAATATGACTCAAATTTCTGAAGATATACAAATTTTGAATATAGAAGCAGATCATGTCTAAAACTTACTTGATTCTACGAACTTTTGATAATCTTAACATAATATAATATCGCTCACATAAATATGTACATACATGTATGTATGTATAGCGAATGAATAAATACTTCAATACTAACACCGTTCAACGTGTTTACTTTCTACTTTTGCAATATGTACTGGTTGATTCTTGTAGAGTTACTCGTGCTGAGCACGAATCCATAAGCAGAATTGTCGTATTACCCTCAGTATTCGAAGAAATCAAATTTTTGTAAAAATTGCCGATGTTTAACAAGAACGAGGTATCGCGTGGAAATTGAAAGCGTTAAAAGGGTCTGATTGGTCTGAAATGGCAAAGGAAGGGATCCCTGAATACATCGGTACGTAGATGTAAATGATTAGAAATAGTCATTGAACTATTTTTACATTTTTACGATACGTTATTTATCTAGGAAGATATCTATCTTACTAACTCATATCCAGCACGAATAACTCTTTAAAAATTACCCGATGCATATTGCAAAAACGAAAGGAAGTAAAAATTTTTTGGTCAGTGTTTCATCAAGCTTTTTGTACATTTTTCTAGTGAGAACGTTCTGTTTTGGTACTTTATGAACCCCTTCACAGTGTGGTAAAATTACGAATTCAGGTCCAAAAAATGTTCAGTAATTAGTCTGTGTATAGTATTTGACGCCCTGCCCGTTACTGTCACGAGATAAACTGTTAACGGGTTAAAGGAATTTCCGAAAACTGGAAAATAAAATAATCCTAATTTAATTTAACGTGAAATTTTATAAAGAAACTTTCACAAAAAAACATCAAAGTGTGTGTTCGATTACTTGCATTAAATGAAGAAAGGTTGATTTGCAGCTCCAATAGGAAAGTTGAACGCCTTACCCGCATAGTGCATGGAGAACTCTCGCTACTAGGTCAAGTCGAGATACCTTGTGAAACCAAAAGGCGCAAAGTCAGATATTCGCTTCGCTTGCACTCTTTAGATAAGTTGCAAATATGGACAGTCATTGAAGCAAGTAATTGTGATTATTTGGATGGATCATAACTTGACTTATAATATTTTAAATATAACAAATTTCTCAAAAATTTAGTTCGTAGGACAATTTAAGCGAACACGAAAAATTAAAGATTCATATAATTAAAAATGAGAGACCATCGATAATAGTTATTTTAAGGATCTGATCGAAAAAAGAAATCATTGATAAAATTTTGATTTTTATTCACATCTGACCGAAACATCGGTAAATAATTCACCATCAAGAAATTCGTCAAGAAATGCAATGATTAAAAAATTTCAATTTTTATTTCTTATGGTTGCAAATAACCATTATAAATTATTAGAGTACTTTCTGTGTATGGATAACTTTTTCAAACAACGGAAGTTGTTTTTGGTAACGAAGATTGTAGGTAATGTCACCTACAATGCTCATTAAAAGTAATTTATATCATTTCTAGTTATTATTGGTGCTCAGAAATACCACTTAGGATTGTTCTTCCTAACCAAAAATACAATAATTTCTTTCTCCTTCCATGATACTCTACAAACCAAACGAAAAAGAAAGAAGTAATAATTATTTATGTTTTTTAACTAAAATTATTTCAGTAAACAAGAGAAATATAATTATGTAAGTAAATGGATAAAGTGATAACAATATTTATTGAACAGTTTAACAACACAACATAAATTAGAATAATATCACTTGAAATAGATTCGCTTCTCACTGCGATATAATCTATACCCGGCTCTTACACAGAACGTCTTTTTCTGATGACTGTCATTAATGCACTAATTGTTTTTCACGACTCTCAGTCATACTCGTCACACACATACATTCTTCTACACAAATATTCTTCACACTTATACCAAATATACTATGACAACCACTACCACAAATTATTATATAGTCTTTCCTTATTTCAGTTTTAACAGTCACGGACTCAGTAAAAAACAAAGAAGATACACAAAGTGTTCACGGTAATGCTATTCAACATTTTTCTCGGAAATAATAAGTGTATTGTAAATATGAAAAAGAAAAATGTTTTATTGATTTTTATACTCAACGTAATAACGCGTATGAATTTCTTATATTTGCAATAATTCTCAAGAAACGAAAATGATATTCAGTTTTTTAAATGAAATATCATATATATATTGGAAAGCCTATATTAAGATTCAACCGTATGGTATATTATGACCTTCAACTCCGTACAAGATCAAAAACAAGGAACACGTTCGATATGTCTTTCTTGAATTTCGTTACATTTTTCAGTTCTACGAAATACATTTTCGGTGAGTTTTGCCAATTATGACCGGGATATATGTGGATTTATGAGCTACATTTATTTTTATCTATAGATTATTCATATCTCTAGATAAAATATAGTAAACAATATCTTTGATAGTATTATATAAAAAAAATCTAACGTGCAATTTTAGCGACTATTCTACGAATGCATATATCTCAATTCGTTTATTTCGAAACTCTTTGTTTAAAAAATTACTAGCTTCTCCGCTATTATGAAGTACAGTACTGTTCCGCTTTCGACAATAAAAGTGGCTGTTGTTTCGAATAATCCTTGAATCGCGTATTCAAAAGTTCTACAATAGATACACTCATACACGAAAGCATGCGAATGTTTGTATGTGCTGTTTCCAACAAGTAATATACGTATGTTAAATTGAAGTATTTGAAAAATCTCAAGACCATAGAGTAAAATTAAAAAATAATTTAATCATACGTGTTTAATACGATATATTTATTACAAACATGCGTCATTGTTAAATTATAAAAGTATGTTAAAGTAATAAAAAATAAATAGTATTTATATAATGTTGATTTATCTTTAACTTCTTATAACAACTTTAATATAATTTTCCATTGAATACATTAGCGCCACCGGGATTCCTATTTGTAATAAATATAATCCAAGTATCGTATATATCGTCGAATTATTTTGTCTCTTTATTAATAATATTTTGAGATTTCTTCCTTACTATCGTATAATTTTAAATATTTCGATTTAACGTACATATTGAATTCTTAGACGTAACAAATCTAAGTGTTGTAATATTTCCGCGAAGATGTACATATACAATAAGTGAGTACATATCAATATTTTCGTTTAATGTCACTTTATAAAAATATGACCCTAAGAGTATTATCTACCATTATCTACTATTCCAAGCACACGTTTGTCCGAAATTGCTCGAGTATTGAATATTTTCCTGTCTTCTGAATTTTGGATTTTTCGTGCTTCAAAACTAGATATTACGTTGTTAATCATATTTCCTTAAAAGCTAAATTTATGAATCCAACAAATATTCTTATCAAAATTGCAATCGTTTTTATTATTTCCAAGTATCCGATTTGATACTTGTAAGATTTGTAATCACGTAAGTTTTCGATTTTACGAACAGATGTAAATGAAATATTACACGTGGATAAGATATTATAAGGCGACGAAATTTTTTCGAAATGTAATACAAATATATGTAGGATTTTTGGTTATATTAAATCTATGCAGACCGAGGTCTGCGCGTCTAATAAAGAACAACTCCCTTTTAATAATAAAGCAGGTTTATTTACTATATCACACTACTTTCGACTACACACCATCTGACTGCCTCGCGCCTTTGCATCCCTATTTAAAGCCAGATCTATCTCATTCCATACACACGCTTTCTCTCTCAATCATTCTACAGACATTCCGACAAAGGGATTTGCCGCTATCATTTGTTCTTTCCGTACCAAACGCCCGAGTCAGACCCGATACCACCGTTCGCTACTCCTTGCTTTTCAAGGAACCGCCCATACGCTTCTGTTCCGTCTCGGAAAGCGTGTTTATAACATAATTTTATTC